AGCAGGATCATCTGTGGACAGTTTCATTCTGGAATGACTTAATAAAACTTATGTAAGAACATCCACACAGTCATTTTCATTGGCTTAATTAAATTGGTTAAAAAATAATTTAGCCTAAGTTCAGCTTCCTTATAGAGACAGGGCAGGTTTTTACCTGCAAACAGTATCTCCTTGTCCAGATTGAGACTGTTTTGCACATACTTATTTTGCTGTTCTGAGTGTATGACAGTGTTTTAGCAGTTATTACTGAGCTTGGCTTAGACCTCCATTTTCTATTCAGTGAGCCAGATGATTCCCTCTGTTCAGATCTGTAATTATTTCCTTTATTCTTCTCTTTAATTATGTTCCTGGAACACTGTGGTAATGCACTGTAGGGTATATTTTACACATATTCCGATGCATATAGATCAGAATGTATGTTATTCTTCAAAGTTTGCTCCATAAATCTTTTAGGTGCCTTTCTGCTCAAAAGTGCAATCTAATTCTGAAGATCATAGGGGGTCACTAACATTTCAGGAGGGTTAGACGAATGAGCATCCCTAATTAAATGACTTATGGCAAGCTATCAGTACAGTTGCCTTATTACACGTCATGGCTGGACTATGTCAGGAAAATTTTTTTTAGAGAGAGGGGTTGTGTTATTTAACATTAGAAGCATTTCCGAGGGAAAGGAGTATGATTTCTGCAATCAGCAGCCATGTCATGTGCTAAATGACTATTTTAATATGTAAGCCTGTTTACCTGCTCAAGACTCCCACAGTTGCATTCACCATTGGTATAAGCATCGACTCTGGTGGAGTTACACCCACTCATGCCAGCAGTGAATTTGGCCCAGAGGCCCTATTCCAGTGCCATCAAAACACTGATACCGAAGCCAAGCTTTTATGGATAACATTTTTTAAAAATAGCGCCCTAGATTAATTTTTTTTTTTTCCAAAGGTGTTACAGTTTACTCTGGAGCCTAAGTAACTTGGTTAGAATTCTAATTTGAATTTTCATCTAAATCATATTGAACATGCTACCCCGCAGCAGTTTTTATGTTTGATTATCTGCAAATTGCTTGTGATTCCCTCAGCATATGCAACAATGAAATGGAGGAAAATTATACATTTGTATTTGATACATGCTTAAAATTAACTTTTCTGCCTCCCCTCCAGGTAGAAACTGTAGCTTTTTGCAGGAAATGGATGTCATCCAGAAACAGGATGAAAACTGTTACTGCTATGTGCAAAACAGAACCATTCACTTACAGTACGTTTGGTCGACTCTTCAGGTAAGAGGCCGTTTTTGGGGATCATTCAGATATGCAGTACATTTCATGTGAACTTTTGCCAGCAAAGTGTATGATCAGTTAGCAAAATCAAAGCAGTATCTCTCTAATTAGTAGTTGGAACGGTGTATAGGTAGGACCATGATAAAAATGCAGCATTGTGATCCTCCACTTCGGATGCAGTGAGATTTGGTCTCTCTCTCTTAGAAGGATGTCAACCAGGCTTATAGAATGATGCCACACAAACATTAACTTAGTGTTGCGTATTATTTTGTTGCACACCTTTTCTACTGATGGACTACTGTTAACCTCTGCAACAAACGTTTTTGCTTATCACCAAACGCCTTTATAAAACTTTTAAATTTGAGAATAAAATGCAGTTCTGTAACTCACTCGCTGTAGCATACCAGGCCACAGTATAGGAACCAAAGGTGTATTAGATTGTGACTAATGAAAAAACAGCAGTAGCAGTGCATTTCTGTCTTTCTGAGTAACAGAGGGTCATCTTACAAGAAACATGTTTAGAGATTAGCTTGAAACAATATAAAAATCTCGTAACAGTGGAAGCGATAATAGCTAAAGGAACAAGCGGACTATCTGTGTGGTTCCTTTTTTTTCCTGGGAAGTATGTCTCTGGACAAGGGAAGGAAACAGTTTCACTTGATCTCTGTTGGAGGAATGTGCTCTCAGACAGAAGGAAGTGGAACATCTCTTTGCCTGCCAGGACTATTTTCCTCAGGAACATGCTGCAGATGTTTCTATGAATGGTAACAGACTTCAGGTGGTGAAACCCTCCAGCAGCCACACAAGCTTTCCTGGAGTAAATGTTTAAAAGCAGGAAGTTCAGATTTTTCCCACAACAAATTGCTTGCTGACGTGTTGTCTCTTCTCCCAGTAGAAGCCTGTTTTATTACCTATTGCATCACTTTTTTGTAGATGGGTTTTGTTGTCTAATAGGCCCTGATCAAGAGCTCACAATGACTCACAATCTTCAGGAAGATCATCCCATCTCAGAAGATCGACAAGATCTTTTACCAGTTTGGTGGGTGCTAGGAACTAGCGAGACACCCCAAAATACCCAACAGGAACGTGCTTATATTTAAATTTCTGGTTATGATCTCTTTCATTTTCCATATCCCTCTTCTGTCCCTAACATGAAGATTGCATTATTAACTACAAGAAAAGCAAGTCCAATTTCTTACGGTTCAGGAGGGGAATGGGGAAACGTATGAACATCCACAAAAGAAACGGTGGTCAGTCAAATATTACTGGTTTTGTTAGAAATTTGTGTGCAGGCAAGAGTCATGGTAAAACCAAACCCACTGAGCTTTTGGATGGATTGAGGCCCCTCCATAGAACTTTGCTGACGTTGAGTTCTCTGAATCACCTTGTAAGGCCTAAACAATTAATCTTTGCATAATATTAATAACCAATATTAAACAACTAAGAATTGCACTAGCATTTTATTCTTGATCTCTCTATACTGATTTTCATTATCACATGTATGGTTTATATGCTATATAGTTCAGAAAAAAACCCTGATTCTGAGCTACTGCTCTGTGTATTCTGTTGTTTGTTTTTAGGTAAAAGTTAACAGCAGAGAAATGTTCAGGTTTGAGCCTATTTCAGAAAAAAGCAACTGTCGTAATTCAGAAACTGTTTTTGAATTTGCTGCATGTGCTGTTCAAATCTTATGGAAACCAGAGGCATCTACAGAAACTTTCATAAGCATAAAACAATATGGAGAGGATATTTGTTTCAAAATACAGCCCTTCAAAACCGAACCGTACACTGTGAGTGTGAAACGAGAAAGTAAGTAAAAAAGCTTTCAGGTTAGATTACAGATAGATTGGTATTGCCAGTGTTACTTAATGTACCATCTCTTCTGTAAGAAGCTTGGGACTTTTCTGTTGATATTTTATATAATCAACATTTCAGATTGAATTAGTCTAAAGTCCATTTCTATTTTTTTCCCCCTTTTTTTAGTGCTAGATGGAAAACTCTTGTTTTTGTTTGTAGCTGGAATTTTTCTGTTCCATTTTGCAAACAGCCTGAGCAGGTGAGTACTAGCTGCTGGTTTTTGACCACCTTTCCCAAAACCTGTGCGTCTTTGGTCTGTTTTCTAAGCTAAAGAGGCAGTTCTTTGGGAAATTGAAATAAGGAAACTGAACACATATTTAAAACTTCTTCATACCATTTGTGTTTGGACAGATTGTGACATATCTTGGAGTGCTGCACTCTATTAATCACTTAGCTGTGTGAGGGTTCTTGTATCCAAGCTTCTTGCACTGGGAGACACCAAGACAATCCTCAGCGAGCAAGCGTGTGTGTGTTCAGAAAAATTCTCTCTCCCCTTTTGTAGACCAGTGAGGTTAGCTGAATGCTAAATCATGCTGCATGTATTATGAATTATGCCTTCCTGCAGCGGGAAATGCTTAGGATGAGGTCACCTGGGGCCTCATCTGCCTCTACCTTTGTGCCAACCTTTCCCCATCGTTCTTTCGGTGCACGTTTTGCATAGCATATAAGGGAGGATACTTATTGTTATAGCAAAACATGTGTCTCATAACTTTAAAGCAAAATGAGTCACAAATTAATTGTCAGGAGACACCTCTAAAACAAGCAGAGCAGCAGTAGGTTTTATAGAGTTAACTCTGAATTAAAAAGTCAGACTTTATAAATGCATAAGCTTAGAAAAAAAAACTTGTGGGTTTGTGGAGGTTTTTTTACATTTTAAATTAAAAAAATAAAACTTTTCTTGCAGTACAGAACCATATCGGTACATAGAAGAAAATGAAATTACTAGAAACTAGAAGGTCAATGAAGTCAGAAATAGTGTGAGCTTTAAAAAAACCCAACACAATCTCCTAGCCTGTAACAACTCCAGTGACCTTAAGTATCTGTTAGGAATTTTTCCTTACATGGATTTAATATCTAAACTGGGCCTGTTAACCATGTAACTACAACTCTAACTTACAGCTGTGTTAAGTTCTTATTGAAGATCACTGCTGTTTTTACAAATGTTGGCATCTTAACCAATTACAAATTACACTTCTCACCGTATTCTCTCTTGTTCTCTTACAGGAGTACCAAGTTCTTCTACCTTTCTGGAATAATACTGGGTGTTCTTGCTCTGCTAGTCTTTGTCCTGTTGACACTTAAAAGGTTTATTCCAAGGGTAAATCTACATTTATAAAACAAAATAATAACGATAATCATCAACATCATAATATAGGAAGTGAAGAGTACAGAGCCAGATTCTGATCTTGCTCTCTTTCTGTGGCCAGGTAACTCCACTGAAATGACCGCAAGATTGCTTGCGTCAAGTAAATATAATTAGGTCAGAATCAAGTTCTAGTTAGCTTGCTCCTGAGTTTAAAGTAAACAGGAGATTGTTGATGTACAAGAAGAGTTTATTCTGAAACATAAATTATTTTTATTGGACTGGAGCTAAGCTTACTTTTGAATCTATGAATCAATCTAACTCAAAATCTCGTTTTAGTGGCAGCTGGGACAGATTCTCTAGTTCACCAGAGACAATTCATTGCAAGGCAGATGTGAATTTTTCCTTTTGCAAAGTCCGTGCATTCCCACAATATTGCTGAGATATGTTAATTGGAAGTACACTGCAGTAGGCTTATACCATGACATCGGGACGTGATATACAAATACAGAGAAGCAATTGCTCCGCTTAGAATTGATACTGTTTAGTTGTAGCATGCAGAGCACTGTACAGTGGAAGTCTAACACAGATCATAAGCCCTGTAAGTCTACCGAATATCACATCTGGTTTTGCCTGTGAGTTGCCTTGCGCACAATGGTCCTGATTCTGACTTGAAATTTTTCATTTTTCTATTTTTTAATTTTTTTTTTTTTTTTTTTTAAATTTCCAGCACAGTACCTTCTGGATCTTAATGACTGGCTGCTGGATGTCCTCTCTCTATTTTATTTACTGCTTCAAAGAGAATATGCAGTGGTTGTGGTCTGAACACAGAAACTACTTGTTGGGTAAGAAAATTATCAAAAAATGGGCTGCAGATTTTGGCTTAATTTAGTGGTTAGATGAATACCTGCTCATAAAAAACAAAATGAAGTGACTCATTTATGGAGTACTTTTTTCTCCTAAGCTATAGACATTGGAATATTCCAAAGGTTCCTAATCCACTCAAATGAGCATTTACTCATATTGTATCATTAAATAAGGAGTTTGATGTAGTGGGCCAGTAGCAGCTTTAAGAGCAGACTTTGCCTGTATTATTTACTCATTGATTTGCCATTACATACTTTCCCTGGAACAGCAAAGGGCAGCTACGCTGGTTTGTATTTTGCTGGGCACGGGAACTGGATGTCTAAGTTGCTAACTGGATGTGGCTGCAGGGGCTGACAAATCTATTGATCTGGCACCTGCCTCGACATTCTTGCACGGAGAGAATTCATGTGCAGCTCATAGCATTAGCTAAAGGCTATTCATAGATCACCTCGTGAATTCTTTGCACACTTTTGAAATACAAAGCACATACAATATAATGCAGGTATCTATAAGACAACGCGGGAAACAGCAGGCTATACTACACAGCAGTTGCAAGCTTTGTGAACCAAACTAATGGAGTGAAATGGGTAATTTGCATCTTTTTCTCCATGTCCTCCTTTTGCATTTCTACAGGGTACTTTCTGGCTGTTGGAATTACCAGCTTTGCCACTTGCTATCAGCATGGACCGCTTACCACTGAACTGAGCATAACCTTGTTCACATGGACACTACAATTAACAGCCTTTGTCTTGATTTATTGTGGTGTTACCATACCTCAAGTTGCGTATGCAGTAATAGCAGTCAGCCTCTGTTCAAAAGGCCTGTGTTACCCCCTTGGTGCTGCTTGTCACGTAGGCAGGTTTGTATGTATTTGTCAATGTCCGAGTCCCTGTATCACCCGGAAATACTGGAGGCTGATAATGAAAAAATCCTTACACTTCAATAATGATTTATGAATTTCTAATACTAGTTCATATTTTTACCAGATGTAAAGCTGCAATAGAAAAGGCTTAAATCCCTGAGACAGGGGAATTTAATTATTTTCCATTTGGCAGTTTTAAGCACGAGTTTTGTTCTGTGGAGAAGGGAGAAATGTGACTGTGCTCTCAAGTACAAATGTAGCACCTTCTAGTCTGCAGCATATGGTAACTAAAACATTTCTGTTTGGTTGATTGATTAGACTGCAGCAATACTGCCTTGGTTTCATGTGTAGTGAGAGAATCTGCGGGTAACTTGTACTGAATCTTACGCGATAAAACAGTGTACCATCACCTAGGAAGCAGACGTTAAAAAGCAACAGTCCTTGTAGGTTAGCGTGGAGTTCAGAGGCTAAAAACCCATGTCCACAAAAATAATGGTTTCCATTGATTTTAATTTTCCAAGGTTATTAGCCTAGATGTACATGCCTACCTTTAATTCGTGGAAACAATCTGTTATCACTGTGGAGACATTCCCCCGTATTCCCAGAGCCCCATTTATATTGTGGCATTTGGAATGGGAACTGCTTCCAGTATGTAGACCTTAGTTTGCTAAGTATTTTCATTAGCAATATGGGAACAACGTGTTTCCTCATCCTTGAATTGGAAGTGTGTTTTATCACAAATACCACACTCAAATGAAGATTCTAAAAAGTCCTGCCAACTTACATCTGTTTCTTACCTGCAGTGATGGCATCCAGATTTACTGCAGACTGTTCCGTAGCTGTGGACTTCTGCTGAACTGCAGAGAACCAGGAAGAGGCAAAGGCTAGAACTGGCATAACCAAAAGAATAAAACCCAAATAATTTCTTTTTTAGTCTTTTACACAGTATTTAGTTTTGAAGAACATATTGCTTTGCTCTTGTGCTCTTTAGATGTTGAAGTGTGGACTGGGTTGAAGCTTTTTTATTTTAGGTAGAATTTATCATTTGTTGAAGACTAATTTTTGCCTGCAGCTGAGAAGCACCAGCTGTTTCAAAAGCAATATATAGGATCAATACTTACCTGATGTAAAACAGGCTCAGCTCACTCTGAAATCTCTTTAAGATTTGATGACGAGTTCACAGAAGTCAGAACATATGTGTTTTACCCCAAAACACTGTAGTTTGTTCTCCATGTGGACCTCTTTTTGTTTTTCATGAACTGATGCTTCTATAAAGCCAAAAAGCACTGAAATACAGCTCTACAAATTTCTCTTAGGAGAATGATAAGGGTTGTTTTTTGTTTCAAAACACTAAGCAGTAGCACCAAACTGTGAGGTCATGATGCCAGATACACAGTTCAGAGCAGCAGATATATCAAAATAACTAAGAATCTTGCAGTATTTGTTAAGATCAGTACAGATCCCACTGAGCCAGCAAGACCTTTACCATTTGAATAACGGCTACAGTTCATTCTTGCTTTACAGAGAAATAAGGAGGAAAGTGAATGCTGCTGGTTAGAGCAGGTGTTTTTATACAGAGCTGAAAGTTTTATGGGCATCCAGCCCTTGCTTATCTTAACTCATCACAACATTTAAATTGAAAGCAGTCGACAGAAGGGAACAGAACATGGCACACTTTCTAATTGATATCTAATTATATTATACACTGCTACGCAGCAGCTAAAAAAACATCAGATTGTAAACATTTTGGCCTCAGACTACTCAGTTTTGTAATTTAAAGCAAGATTTAAGAGAAGCGATCTAGTAAACAACATGAACAACTCATAACAGACTTAGAGTATTGCTTATCTTCGAAGTTACATATGCAGACTGGGTTTTGATTCAGCCTATGTCTCTGCACAGACACATTTTGCATATTGCACCTAAAAATGGCTGAGCAAGCAGCCATCTATTTAATTCTATGAGATTTTAGTCCATGCATACAGAGTAAGGACCTGATCCAAAGCTCATTAGATATCATTCTGTGGAATGCTACAGCTTTGGTTAAGACCTAGGTTAAACAGGCTAGCAAACATTAGACGTCTTGTCCTAAAATTTCAATGCAAGAATGTAGCTTGTCCTCTTAAAAGGATAAAAGTGATTAGTGCATGTTAATAGCAGGTAGTAGAGAAAAAGGACGACAATAATTATGTGCCAGAAAACTTTAGAAATACTAATTGTTTTCATTTCATTCTAGAAAAATGAAGAACCACTTTAAATCAAAAAAGTTAGTGTTTAAATGCCTTACTGAAGAGGAGTATCAAGAACAAGGTGAAAGAGAAACTATCAGAGCTCTGGAGGAGCTACGCTCATTCTGCAGGAACCCTGACTTCCCATCATGGTTAGCTGTATCCAAACTCCAGTCCCCACGTAGGTAAGAAAACCTGGCCTCTCTAAGACGGGAGAAGCATTGCACAGGCACTGTTACACAGCAGATCCAAATGCTACTTCAGGCACTGTTCCAGGTGCGTTTATCTTGCATACAGTCAGACACGCAGGTAGCTTTATCTACTTGAGTAAACCCACTAAAGATCACAGCCGCACCTCTCAAGGATATTACTTGCTGGTGATATTAAACCCCGTTTGTTCCTCTCTGACCATAGATTACTCTGAGAGTTTGCAGATGTTCACAGCTGATTCATGGTAATGGCAGCTTTCCCTAAAATGTACAGGCTTCCTACAGTGCCTCTGCAAGCTCCTACACAGTGACTCAGGCAGCCGTCTAACCAGTGAAATGCCCCTCTCTTCAATTTTTAGAGCAGTACACTTTTGCACTGTGTAAAATTGGGGCAGGCTGAAAATATATGCTCAAGTATTACTTGCATTAAGCTCTCCAACTGCAAGCCTGCACAGCCAAGAAATCCTATTGAAGTATCAACCAATACCTAAGACTAAGAACACAGAGGGAAAAAAAAAAAAATCAGTGCCTGCACCTAGGAAGTATAACAGGTAGAAGAGCTACTCCAGATACAGCTTAAGAGACAAACTTAAGACAAATATGAGTTAGGAAGGGAAGGGTCAGATAAATGCTGCCAGAAAATATTGCAGAATATAAAATTAATCATAATAGCAGTGTATTTCCTTCAAAACTGAAACTTTGAGACACCAGAGGCAGAGTTTCACATATTACCCAGCCACAAAGACTTGGCCCTTGCCACAGAACCAAGTATCACAATTTCAAAGGAGCCCCAGTCAGCTTGGAATTTAAGCAATAAAAAGTTAAAACTAGTTTCAGAACCTTCATCTTCCTTGGATGGGCACACAGACAGCCTCTCTGCCAGATTTTATAGATTTACTGTTCAACTATCTTATTTTCTATGATACTTGCATTCCATTGCATGATTGAAAGATACAAAGAGTGAAAACTCACTGCAGTATTGCAGAACAAAATACTGCCAAATGCACAAAACCAACAATTGAGACACGTCTTTTCTAGCCATTACTTAGTTAATATAGTTCTTAAAATTGTTCACTATAAAAACACAAAAACAAAAAGGAGAACCAATAGAAGTTAGGTATCCCTTCAAGCTTCCATTAAGCATCAGAAGATAGTTCAACACAAGGCAGACCTGTAAAACACAGCCAGTCCAACTCTGTTCCCCATTTAGACTAACAGTGCTTCCAAGAAGAGCGAGGTGACAACATTCATTTCACAGAAACGTTAAGTCTAAAATGTAAATTATTGATCAGTTTACCAGAACTCCAGAATGTAGCTGCATTTCCTTTTTCTTACATTTCTCTGATGCTGTCGACACTTACCCAAGTGTCAGAATTGCCGTCTGTTTCCACACGCTTGCCAGAAACCTCTAGCTCCGTTCTCTCTCTTCAGTGTAGTTGTCCACTGAAAGTAGGATTTGTGGCAAACTGAAATGTAGGGACAGTGCTAAGTTCATGCTTTGTTCTGCCAGACCTCCAGTTTGGTGTTTACTTGGAGCAGCTGCAGAATTCCCAGTCTGCAGCTTCGAGTTCACCAAAAGCAGTGACTTGCTTGAATGGTGAATTCTTGTCAAAGAATTGGCGAGACTTTAGCTCAGCTTGCCCAGAGTGTGCGTGCTGCACCAGAAGCAAGGTGATAGCACAGCAACGTAGGAATGCAAAGTTCTCACCATTTTTCCTTTCATTAGCAATGTCAACTTACCTGAATTCTTACAGCCTTTGCCTCAAATGTGTTACAGCTTTAATTTATTTTTAGAAGCTAACATACCATCTATCCGACTGTACAAATGCTTACTCTGGATTACCCCACGAGTACTGACAAGATGTGAAAACGAAGTTAGATCTTCTTGCTTAGTCACAAGACCTTGCAGATGGCCCCCAGAAGAGCAAAAGTTACTTATATAGAAAAGACCGAAGACTGAAAAGAAGATGAGGCAAGAAAACAAACCTTCAGGGTTGTTCCTATCCGTTGTGATTTACTCTCTGTGGTTCAGGACTCCCTAACTCATGCTGCAACTTCCCCTCATCTGCACTGCCTGTGGGCGTGTCCTTAGAACATCCCTGCTTAGCTGGCAGCATCCCCTGCATTTACAGTATTTTTTTCATTTCTCAGCTGATCACTTCTCCTTTTAAAAATTTGGCAGGTTTGCAGGTTTTGTTCTGGGATCTCCCCACGTCTCACCTGCAGAAACAAAGGCGCATGATGAGGAATACGGCATTGGGAGCTTCTTCCTAGAAGATCAGCTCTTTGAGACAAGGGCAGAATCTGAGCAAGATGATCCAGCCAGTTCCATCAATGGAGGAGATGAGGAGGATGAAGATGAAATGCATAAACAAATTTCATTTCCATATGCTACTGAGTTGCTCTGAGCTTTGGGAAATAACCACAAAAAGGAGAGAGGGAAAACACATTCGTCCTAGAAAGGAAGGATACAGTTGGAGAACTCACGCTTGGTGATTTCATGTGATTGCTGGTGGACAAACAGGGATTTTTGAAAAAACTCTTTCCTGTATCACTGATGTTGCCTGATTAGAGCAACAGAAGGAAGCCATAGGGGCTGTTCAAGTGAAGAGGATTCTCATGCTGGGGAAGTAAATGTTGCTTATTTCCAAAGCAAGTACTGGCAACAGCCTGTCCCACCAGGATGCCTTGTTTTTCCAAGGATCCTACCTCTAGGGAACAGAGAATCTGGTTTGGCCCTTTTCATTGTCAAGTCCTCTGTGCTGAGCACTAGAGGGAGGAGAAGCCACTATTAATACTCTGCTTTTACTAAGTACCCTGTGTGTCAACAATTTTAATAATGCTGTTGGTGTGCTGATAAACTATTTTTATTGTTTGTGAGACTTTTCAGTGCTAAAGATCAATAGAGAGTTAACACAGTTGAATGAGGTTTGTTTGCTCTTCTGGCTAGTCTTGCTGTCAGTTGGCTTCATTTTGCCTCTCCACGTTTGTTTTAAGCTCTTACTCCTGCCTGACTTTTCACCCTCTGCTTGTATTGTTCTGTTCTTGGTCTCTGCTCTAGTTATACTGCACTTTGTTCTTCCCATGTCTTTGTTTCGTCACATACTCTTCTTCCCTCTTCTTGCTGAACCTTTCCTCAGTACTCTGCTTCACCACCTCTGACAACTGCAGATGAATTAGGAGAGAAGTTCTGTCCCCAAATGTTTTTTTACTATTGCTTTTAATTTCACTGTCACCTTACCTCAGACGGGTACTGCCCTCCATTCCAGGCCTCTCAACAGCCCAGAAAAGGCAACAAAGGCTGAGGCTGTTTCAGCTGCTTGGAGGAACTGCTGTCAGCAGAGCCGGAGTGATGCTGTAACCATGTAATTGGGAATACAGATAACCCACATATAGCTCCACTGTCCTCAGAGTACTCAGTAGTTCGCTCATTCAATAAAAAGTGGAAAGGAATTCTGGCAAAACAAGGAGGGAGGGATACCTGGCTCCTACCTCCCCTTCTTTGGGACTTAGCATAGGAGGTGGGGGGGGAGGAAAAAAAAAAGAACAGGGAGAGAAATTTAGACAGTCAAGTGTCTTTCAGCTTGGGTATTACACAGTCCCAGGCTAGGGAATAGATCGTGTCCCCTCAGTTCATCCACCTGCAGAAGTCATTTCCCTCTTTTGTTCTTTAGACTATCCCTATATTCTTCTACCCTCACCTTCCTGTTTTACTGTCTCCAAACTGCAGAAAACAAAAGACCATTAATTCTGTCACTGTCTCATCTTACAAACCCACCAGTGTGGGTGGTGGGAAGCAGTCAGCTCTCCAGAAGGGCATTTCAGACCAGGATATATTTGTTTTAAAAGGGATATCTTTTCTCTGTAACATGCAGCATGACTTCAGCAGTGCATGCACTATCGTGGTTTCTCATTGTCCATCACTGGACAAGGGAGAAAATCTGTTGTTACCTCTAACAGTGCTAAGAAGTGCTGCCATACCACATTCCAAGAGCTCCTTTGTATAAAACAGGGCTCAGAGTTATGCTTGAAAGCCTTATTTATATGGTCCTTCCTCCTTTATATTGCTTCAACTTTGCTTCATTTTAAAAGGAACTCTTCCATTTTACAGTAAGGAGACACTTAACACCCTTTTGTGCCACAAATTTATAAATACATATGCAGAATCTATAGCATGTTTAGCAGAGAGAAGCCCTGTCAAGCAGGTGATCCAAAATACACTCACTGGTAAGTCCACAACATTCAAAAATAGAACAAGAGAGTTCTCTTCAGGAAGGCTGCTAGCAGCAAGAGTCACCTCTAAGAGAGGCTGCTACTGCCAAATTCAGAGTTAAATTGCCACCCACACTCTGGAAGTCAGGCTTGGCTTGGGGGGTTCTGTCACTAGCAAGAGGCTGGAAGCATGAGCTGTTGTGAAAACGGAGGAAAGCCTCATTATCTTTGATGGTTTGGGAGAAGGATGGAAACCTCTCTGACAATTATCTCAGCAGACTAAAGATTTATTTTACTTTTGCCTGTGTTGCCATCATGAAAACTGAATACCCCAAATTATTACAGATTAGTCAAAAAAGCATACTTGAAGAGATGTCTTAAATGTTTTTTGCATGTTTTAAAGCAGACAAGTTTTTCAGTGTACTGCGTAGCTAGCTAAGAACTCCCATCCATGTGATTTGAGGCCAAGGGGGAAAATCAGATTTATCCTAGCTTAAACCCAGAGTTTTTCTGAATTTCCTCTCTTTACTAAGGTAGTGATGATTATCCTTCCGTAAGTACATAATATGTATTTATATACAATAGCCCAGATAATACATTAAGATAATATTTTACCTATGCAATATGTTAAATGGGAAAGCCCCCCAAAAATAGGCAATTACATTTTTCAGACACTGTCCCTTTTTCTAAGTTATTTAGAACAATACTGAGTATACCTACTCCCACAAGGAAAAAAAAAAAAACAACAAAAAAAACCCCCCCAAAACCCCAACACCAACCAACCTCTGTTTTACGTAGTTATGAAGGTCACCATTTGCCAGGGATGGATAAATACTGTCTGACATAGAGCAGGAAACTACTAAAGACATCCAAGACAGAAATGCAGCAACGTACAAGACAGATGACGACTACTTTAGTGGATAGCTGATACTGACTTTAAATATCCCCCCAGGCCTGTTCCAACATTGGAGGCATTTGATAAACAAAACCGACTGCTATCATTTGAGCCCTTTGCCAACAGTGAGTTTACTTGCACAGTGCTCCTGTGATATATGCAGATTACTTATGTTTACTGAAACACAACTGTTAAGTACTGTCCAGTGTTCAGCCAGAAAATCTGGGAACAGAATCTAGATGTTAATCCATTAACCATTATAAAAGCCCTTCTTCCTTAACGAAGGATGAGTTTTCGTCACGTTTAAAAAAAAAGTTAGAATTTCATATTTATTTTGTATTCACGGTACAACATACTTTATATACTGTCTTGTACTTTCAAGATTTTTTAAAAATAAAAGTACTTTTCAACGATGTGGTTCTCCTCCCTTATGCATTTACTCTTTTCAGAACAGTAGGACACACGACAAGGAGCAGCCAAGCAACCTGGGTGTGTTTATGTCCTGAGGTTTTCTCCCTTGTTGCAGATTTAACAAACGGTAACACTGCATTAGCTGTGGTTGCTCCAAAACGGAGTGTCCCCTCTACCTCGAATGCATCTCCCTGAAGGAACTTGCCATTCCCATTCTCCACTCGTGACAGATCCAAACCACCACAAAGCCAAACTCGTAAGGTGACAAGTGAGGTCTGGCAGTTACACACATGCAAACAACAAAACAAAACTAAGATCTCTCCCTGTCATCGGTTTCGTATGCATACAAATTAAGCATTTGAAATAGTAAAAAATTAACTGTCTGACACCTGAGATAAAAATAAATTCCAGACAAACGTGCCACTGTATAGGGCAGGTGCAATAGCACAAATATAATTAGAAATAGAAATTGGAGGTATTTCCATACAAGCTGACATGACCTGCGCTTAGCAGCCTCTGTCTCAAAGCTGCTAGGTGACAAACATCATCCAATTTTGATGTTCGCTCATCATGTCCTGCACACTTCTGTATCAACCTGTTCACGATGCACATTGGTGTGCATCCCTTGCATCCTCCTCACCCCACACAAGGAAATCTGTGCCTACAGTCAGATTTCATCATGAAACAGATTTTAATGCTGTGCAAGAGTCATTCCCAGGCTCTAGGTTCACTATCCTCCAGGCAGTGAACCCAGCAAAAGGTAATTATCATTGGATTATTTTCAATTCAGGTGATCACTGCTGGCACCATAATACGAGCAAATGTAATAAAAGTTCAGATTGATGCTATTAAATACATTATGGATATTTTATATTTCTTACCACAGTTTTTACAGTTTCACAAATATCAAAACCCAGGTGTACATGTCTATGTTGCAACACAGAATGACTATACAATTCCAAAAAGAGCAGGCATTTCAAATACACAATTCTGAAGTGTAAACACAGTGTACAAGCTCTTCACCTCGCAATCCAGGTGCTATGCAGTAGCAGCTGAGGTTACACCATACAGCATGAACTCAACAAATGGTTGGTTTGCCTCAAGATGATTTTTAGCATCCTTCTGTCCTGTCACCTGTTCAGTCTTTAGTTCTCCCTCAAGTTATACAAACATAAATACATTTCTGATTTGAAAGGACACTTAGACAAGTCATGAGGATTTACGTGAGTACAGTACATTTAAGTTCAAGTGCAAAAAAAGTAACTAGTGGCTAGTCATCAATGTTTCTTTTTATTGTCTGTGGTGTTGGTCCCAGGCACCCCCAGAAACATGGGTTGTTCTAAAAGCACGGCTAAAGCACAGCTACGGGACACCCCTTCAGTCAAGCTAACTAGATGTCAAAGTGGGTAAAACTGCGCACCCCCTTTCCTGCTTAGCTGCTGACATCTTCCTCTCCCCTAACCCTGCGCTCCTGTTAATCCTGCCCCTGGATCACTGTACAGTCCCACGGCACGCACCTTCCCCACGGAAGGCCTGACACATCACATGCGTCCGATTTCAAGGAGGGCTGAGCAATGCTCACTCCGTCCCGTAGAAGCTGAGTGCTCAAAATCTCCCAGGAACAAGCTGTTAATGTAAGCAAATGGGCCAAAACACTACCCTGACTAAACCCCCCAGAGGACTCCTTGAGCCCAAGGCTTTCCCTCCAGCAGCAATTTTCACCATGTACCAGCAAGTGAGCTGGCTGCAGCTAATATTGGAAAGCATAATAAAACAGAATCCAAAGTCTTCCAGTGTCTTGACACTGGGCAAAGTAATTTCCTAAACATACTGCAATTTAGTTATGTTTGCTTCCTCCTGAGAATCTCTCACTCCACTCGCTTTCTGCAT